AACAGGATCGTGGTGATGAGGACCCAGATGGACCTAGGTTCTAGTCCCAGACCCTTTGCTTTTTAGCACCATGATCTCTGCCTCCTCCTTTGATATCTCAGCCCTAGATCCCCACTTGCAAAGTGGGAAAAAAATGATAGTGTCTTCCCAGCAGGATTCTGTCCTCATTAAATAAGCTAAAGGCATTCAAAATGCTGAGCACAACCCTTGGCACATAGTAAGCACTCAATAAATCACTTTAGCTTTATAATGAAGATGATAGGCAGGGAACTCCATTCCGTCCCCAAACAGGAGCTGTCCTGGATTGTGTAGGCTCACCTCCCTCTCTCCATCACCCTCCAGGTTTAGGAGGAAAATGAAAATATTATCTCTTAGGAATTCAGGAGCCAAGTTAAAGAATCTTGCAAATAAGTAGGGGCCACCTCCTCCCGGGAAAGCTGTTTTCCTAACCCCGAGAACAGGACGCCTTGTCTAACAGGGTGTTTGCCTGGCTCCTCCACGGTCCTCCCCTGACCCAGAGATGGCCTCCCTCTTGGGTCAGGTCTTCTGTTCTGGGAGACTGGTTAAGGCCCCTGCCTCGCCCTGTGGAATCTCAACCATGAGCAGTCATGCATCGCAACCAGAGCCACAGCTCCATGTGGTGGGAAAATGGGTATCAGGCACTCCTTGAGTTCATATCTGGACCTCCACCTCTTGCCGAGTGATGCCTGGCAGAATTGCAGGAAGAGCCAGTTAGGTGGTGGATGGGTAAAACTCCAAGCAAAGGGATGTCTGGCTTTGGTGTGGAGCTATGAAGATTCTCAGGCCAACTGTTTGAAAACCATGGGCAGAGGAGGTAACAGCGAGGGGTGCACTGGGGAGCCCTGGGGCCGTTAGAGCAGTGCAAGGAGGGAAGTCTGGAGTCGCACAATCTGCAAGCAGATACGCCAAGCCTCCGCTCCATGGGTATAGCTGCTGCCACTGTTGCCTTTGTTTTTAGTACTGTGAAATCTGCAGAGCTATGTGGTGCTTCCTAGGGCCGGGGGCTTTTATGCCTCCTGTGTCTGCCCGTGAGAGTGACTCAGGAGAGTTCACACAAGTCATGGAGAAAGCATATGAGCTGTGGCTGCTTATAACCCAGGGAAGGGCTGGGGCTGCGAGCTGTTTCTCAGGGTGTATGCCCATCTGGGGGTCCTGTCAGGTCAGTTCTTGTCTTTGGTGACTTTTTAGTTCTTTTCAGTGATTCTCAAATCCCAGGGGTCTTTGTAAGTGTCTCTCAGGGCGAGCAGGGTGGTGCCATGGGTGGGGATGTCCTGTGAATTCCAGAACTTTTTACATCTCTGGCTCATTATCATCCACTAGCCAACATCACCACCCCATCATTCATGGAAATAAACCTTTGAGAAGACAGATTCCCTCCCTCCACAGCTATGTCTTGCGTTTGACATACAATGCCTCCCAACACCACCACACCAGACAGCATCTCACAACCTTGCCAAAAGCTACTACGGGCCCCGTGTAAGCCCTGTTCCAGTTGTACTGCACAGGTCCCCAGGAGATGGGGGGCTGACCTACTTCTCTGTACCAGGAGCTGATGATCGCAGAGGCAGCCCATCCTGAGGTAGATGGTTATCCACCTTGGTTCTCTTTGGCATTCAGCCCACTGATAAACATGGCATGAATAATCTGACATCCAGAGTGAAACAGTGTGTCACGTGCGGCCAGACCCCGGAAACAATGGGCTATCTCCCACTCTGGACAGATAACGCACCCTTGGATTTACTTTTTCTTTAGTTACCACCCTTGAGACCAAAGTCAGCTGAGACCAAGGACTCTCCCCTTTGTCCTGTACAGGCCGTGCCCTTGCGTGTGTGGGTACATGCATTCGTAGTGTATGTGTACACATGTGGAAGCCAGAAGTCAACATTGACTGTTGTTCTCTGTTGCTCTCCACCTTATTAGACAGGGTCTGAATTTTATATTGGTAATGGAGATTCGAACTCAGGTCCTCATGCTTACATGGCAAGCAGTTTACTCACTGAGCCAGCTCCCCATACACTGGACTTTTCTAATCCAAATGTGAAGACTTAAATTATAAAGATGTTCATTTCATATTAACCTTAACCCATTTCCTGTCTGGGTGACTGCGAGTCTTGGTACTGCCATTGTAATGTCATGATCATCCTCTTGTTCCTCCTCATCCTTAAGTTGGCATACTCTGCCCAGGGGGTTGGCGAGCCATCCAAGTCCTAGCTGTGCCATTAAGTAAAACACCGAAGAGGTCAGGCCCTGGTTGGATTGGTAATGAAAGGATTGTTTGGGAGTGTTTGGCCGCTTTTGAATGGACCCAACTACTCCTGGCTCCAGCTCCTGTTTCTGTCTTGTCCACGAGAGTATGTTGAAGGCCGTCTGTAGCTGCCTTGCCAACTCTGGGTTGAGTGCCTTCCACAAGACATAAAGACTTTGCTGCGGCCTTTCCATGAAGGAGATGAGCATGGCTCAGCCAAGCGCTCACCGCTACTGATTCTGATGTTCCAAACATTCAATTCTTGACATTCAGAAGCTTCCAAGAGCAAGGTGAGGTGATGTACACCAGCAATCCCAGCACTCAGGAGGCTGAGGCAGGAAATGTGAGAGTTTGAGACCAGCCTGGGCTACATAGTAAGACCTTATTTCAAAGCAAATAGTTTGTCATCTTTGTTCAGTAATCCAGTTCCCACTGAAAGCTGTTCTTGTATTTTTATTTACTTTTCTTTTTCTTTTTTTGAGATGGGGTCTCCCTGTAGCCCCAGCTAGCCTGGAACTCACTATGTAGACCAGGCTGGCCTGAATCTCACAGAGATCTGCCTTCTTTTAATCCCAAGTGTTGGGATTAAAGACATTTGCCACTGCAATGTCTTATTTATTTTTGAGACAAAGCTTCTAACTCAGGCTGTTCTCAAAACTCCTGATCCTCCTGCTTCTACCTCCCGAGTGAGTGCCAGGTTTGCAAATGTGTACCCACTATGCCTGGTTTATGTGGTACTGAGGATAGCACTCTGGGCCTCATACATGCCAAAGCACTCTACCAACTAAGCTACATCCCTGGCCCATTCTCATGTATTCTTTCCATCTGTTTTATTTCAAGCTGTCTGATTTAAGATCGCTATCTAAGATAACAGGTGGGGACTGAGTGGTTCAGTTTTTTTCTGCTATCTGTTTAATGTCAATACACAGGGCTCTAGTATTTCCTCATTCTCAGCCTCCAGATAGAGAAGAGTTTTAAAGGCCTTTGGGGCTGAGGTGTGGCTCAATTGCTGAGTCTTCTCCTAGCATGTGTGAGGCCCCTAGTTTGATCCGCAGCATTGGAGAAACAACCTTTTGGATGGTCCTGTTGGTTTCTGAATGTCCTCGTGTGTTATATTGGATAGACCACGGGCTCTCTGAGGACAGGAGCGCCTGCGGAATGTCACTGTGACAGCTCTGCTTTCCACTGCCCCCCTGCTTAAGAAATGCCGGTGGAAGGCAGGGCAGCAAACAGCGTGTGGTTTGATGGGGTGTCGGGCAGGCATGTCATCATGGAAAATTCTTCACAGAGTTTGCAGATCCATTTACAGGGCCTCTGCTGCTTCTGCAAACTGTGCATTCCTTCGGAACCATCCACGCGTTCCCTCCTTCCCACCAAACCTCAGTCATGCCTCGGGTGGCTTAGAAATAATGATTTCCCCACCACCCCCTTGTTTCCATCCCTCACTCTATGGTTCCCACTGTCCTTGGCTTGGGTTTTATAGGAAATTTGGCCAAATTCCTGGTCTCCGGTCTGCTTGGGTCACCCTGGGACTGTCCTTGAGTGACAAAACTTAAACCCTAGATTCAGAGCCTCTTATGGGCTTCTTGGGGACCAGGCCCTGGCAGCCAATAGAGCTCCATTAGTAGGTTGTACTGAGTGGTAGGCAGAGCTGAAGGTTGGAATGAGACAGGTATAGACAGTTGACCAGATTCGGCACCTGTTGGGGATTCCTAGGGTAAATGATGCCCCTCCCCTGACCTCCTACTCACTTTCCACCATAGCTAGAAGTTCTGTGGGGATTGGTGGCACAATTTTGAGACACCCTGAAATATACCCCCATCTGTTGATCTGTCCCTGCTCAGACAGTTGCTCAGCCCAGGTCAGGGAGAAGAGGAAATCCAGGGAAGGGGAGCCTGTCAGCATACGTGAGCATCCTAGGCACTGGGGAAGGACAGCCAGCTGGTTTATATGTCCTCCAAGGACGATGAACTGATCTTAGCAGGTGTCCCACAGGGCAAGGGGGGCAGTTCCCAGGCCATGGATGGCTGGGTAGGGTATCAGGAAACTTCAGGGTATCTGTGTCCCATCTGTCATCTTTGAGAGGTGAGATAGTCTAATAGCGTGGTTGTCAAAGTGGTAAAGGAACATCATTACCACCTGAGAACTGGTTAGAAAAGCCTTCCTCCGAGACATTCTCAATCAGACTATAGGGATGGGGCCCAGCAGCCTGTGGCCCAAGCTTTCTCAGTTCTTTGGTGATTACGTCTTACATCTACTTGCATCTACTTACATCTTACATCTACTCTCTTGGGGCCTGGTGCTTGGTTCATATCTTTACCTGGCTGTGTGACCCTAGACATATCTCCACTTCCCTGATCCTCATCTATGCCCTGGAAACACTAATTGCTAGCTGCCTGCCATGGTATTGTGATATTAAATGAAGATACTTGCTTTGCTTTATTGTTTTAGAAATAGGGTCTCGTGTAGCCCAGCCAGCCTCAAACTCTCAATGTAGCCAAGGATGACCCTGAACTACTGATCTTCTTGCCTGCACCCCCTCAGTGCTGGGATTACAGGTGTGTACCACTATGTCAGGTTATGCAGTACTGTGGATGGGACCTCACACTTTATGCATGCTACAAGCACTGAGCTTCATCCCCAGCCCCAAATGAAGACACTTCCAAGGAGTCTGATCCGTGCCATCACCCACAAAGCAACTCGGCCCTGACCTTTACTGTTGCTCTCTTTTTAGGTAGTGTCCAATGCCACAGATCAGGGTGTGGCCATCACAGGGAACCAGACCTTCAACAACTGGAACTGGCCTAACGCAATGATTTTTGCAGCCACAGTCATCACTACCATTGGTGAGTTTCCTGAGATCTTCAGGGTACCTGTTTCCAAGCCCTCATCCCTTAGAACCTTATAGGAATCCAGCCCTGGTGATCAGCCTTGTTGAGGGTAAAGTCAGACAGTTAAAGCCTGTCCTTTTGAGTGGGAAGGACTTAGTAAGATCTGGGTTACTACCAGCCTTTCCTATGAGACTATTTCCTGGACTCTGTGTGTGTGTGTGTGTGTGTGTGTGTGTGTATGTGTATACATGTGTGCATATGTATGGGCACACTATTCAGGTGTTTGTGCATGGAGGCTCAGTGTTGACATCAATGTCTTCCTTGAATTCTCCAACTTGTACCTTGAGGCAGGGTCTCTTGATAAACTGGAAGTTCACTGTTTTAGCTAGTCTGGTTAGCCTGTTTGCTCCAAGGAGTCTCTGTCTCTGCCATCTGTATGCTGGGATTATAGGTGGGCCACCATGCCAGCCCAGCTTTTACATGGATTCTGAGCATTGGAAATCTGAAGACTTGAACTTTTAAAAAAAATTTTTTTTTTAGTTTACTTGTATTGCAGTTGTATTTTACATATCTTGTACATGTTTTGTCTACGTGTATGTAAGTGTACCACATGTGTGCAGTGCCCACAGAGACCAGAAGAGGGCGTTAAATCCCCTGGAACTGGAGTTTACAAATGGTTGTGAGTCACCATGTGGGAGCTGGGAACCTAATCCAGGTCCTCTGTAAGAGCAGACAGTGCTCTTAACAGCTGAGCCGTCTCTCCAGCCCCAAGACTTGAATTCTTTAAGCAGAAATATTTGCATGGTCTGATGGCCAGAGCTACACAGGAGATCAGACAGGCTGCTCACTGCACAAGGGCCAATGTTCTGTGGCTGCGTGGCTGACCACTCTAGAAGTCAGTGGCTTAGAGCACAAGTTATTATCTTCCACCTTCCTGGGGTTCAGCTGGTTGTTCTTGTGTGAGAACTCCAATGTGGTTGTGAGATAGTGTCTAGAGTCCAGGCTGGCTCCTCACATCCACTGTTTGCTGTTGGTGCTAACTTGCCTGGGGCTTAATGCACACGGCCTCTATGTATGGCTTGGGCAGCTCTAGAAGGCAGAGTCCCCCAAGTGAGCAGTTGTGGAGAATTGAGGCAGGGGGAAACAGCAGGTCTTTCCGACCTCAACTTGCCTGCATCACTTCTGCCTTCTGGCCAAGAAGCCCCCAATTCCCAGAGTCATAGATTGACTCTGTCTTGATAGGAGCACTTGCAAGAGAATTGGGAGTGGCCATCTTTGGAAACCCCCCCCCCCCGACCCCACACTGTTTCTAGATCTCTATCCAGAGAGGCTGTTGTTGTCTCATCTGCAGGGAGGTACCAAATGGACCAGTGGAGCACCTGCTGATGGTGGAGGAGGCCTCGCCCCCTCAGACAGGGAGCTCCCAGTACAGTAGAGGGAATGATAATGATGTCCACACTATAGTAATAATTGTGTAAATGACCAGGCTAAGTGTGCATATGTATTGATATTATTAGATCAGGATCAGTTGATCTTAGAGAGTATATCTCCCTCAAGCTAGGGTGCATGTGTGCATGCGTGTGTGTGTGTGTGTGTGTGTGTGTGTGTGCAGAAGATGGGAGCCCAGTTTGATGGGATTCGCCATCATCCTTGCTGTGGCCCTGTCCCTAGCCTCATTCTTTCCTTCCTCAGGTTATGGCAATGTGGCTCCAAAGACCCCAGCCGGGCGCCTCTTCTGTGTCTTCTACGGACTGTTTGGGGTGCCGCTGTGCCTGACATGGATCAGTGCCCTGGGCAAGTTCTTTGGTGGACGTGCCAAGAGGCTAGGCCAGTTTCTCACCAGGAGAGGCATGAGCCTGGTATGTCCCAAACCCCAGGTGTGGTATTGGAGGGTTAGGGAGACCATGACAGGGGAGGGGAGGTGTTGGGACAGATGGCACCCTGTCCTGCTGGGTCTGCTGGAGCTTCCCCTAGGCTCTGTCCCAACTGGGATCCTGGAGTCCTTTCTGTTGTCTAACTTGCTCTCCTGCTGCTCCCCCAGCGGAAGGCACAGATCACATGTACGGTCATCTTCATCGTTTGGGGAGTCCTGGTCCACTTGGTGATCCCGCCCTTCGTGTTCATGGTGACGGAGGAGTGGGACTACATCGAGGGTCTCTACTATTCCTTTATCACTATTTCTACCATTGGCTTCGGGGACTTCGTGGCTGGTGAGTCCCTGCCCCCTTCCCTCAACCTCTGTCACTCCATATTCCCTAGTGTTTCTCTTTCATTCAGGCAGGCCTCTGCTGGGTGCATGGGGGTTCCCTGAGAGGTATCCTCTTCTCTCTTGACTGAAAGCCTCTGATCTTAGTTTCTTGTTTTTTTAATTTATTATTTTATCTATATGACTGTAATGCCTGCATATATATATAAGTATACCCGTGTCGTGCAATGCCCATGGAGGTCAGAAAAGTAGTCTTAATGCCTGAGCCATCTCTCCAGCCCCTGATCTTAAATTTCTTTCCTATTTACTTATTTATTATTTTTATGCACATGAGTGTGTTGCCTGCATGTGTAAGTGCCAGCAGAGGTCAGAAGAAGGCATTGGATCCCCTGGAACTGGAGTTAACAGATGGTTGTTAAGACCACATGGGTACTGGGAATCGAAACTGGGTCCTCTGCAAGAGCAGCCAGTGCTCTTAACCCCTGAGCCATCTGTCCAGGTCCAGCTCATAGTTTCTTAACTTCTTCCCATCTCCCCGAACTCACTTGGATTCACCCTCCTGCCTAGAGGGTCTGGGCCTGTTTCCAGAGGTAGAGAGAGGCGTATACACAGCCCTGCCACCCCAGCTCAGCTGGGGCTCCTCCTACCAGATTCTTCCATCTGTTAGGAGGAGCCCTGCAGACTTAGCTCTTGCCGCAGACTGCTCTAAGACAAGGGGGGCCTTCTATACTGCTGCCCTGCCCCCTCAGCCCCACACTCCTCCTCTTCTGCTTAATCCTCACAGGCAATGAGGCTCTTTGTCTCCTTTGTATGAAGGCCTGCACTCGGCCCACCCCAGCCACCCATGCTCAGTGCCTGTGACCTGCACACATAGCCTTCTGGTTCTTAATCTTCTTGATACCCGTTTGAACCAGCGTCTGTTCCCTCCAGGCCTGTGCCCTCCCTGTTGACCTCCACCTCTGGTCTCTGCCCCAGCTGCTTCCCCCAGAGGGCAGGTGGGGGGGTCATGCCTCTGCCCCTTTGTGTGTGGAATGAATGCTGTGAGAGAGGACAGTCGAGTGAGTGGAAAGAACAGGACAGAGCTGTGTGCACACTCTTGACCCTAGCACACTGCGGCCTGCCTGCTGTCTGGACATAAATTTAGAGGTACAACCCTGTCGTCCAGCCCCTGGGGCCTGCTGAAGAGAAGCCTGTGGTATTAGGAAGCCCAGCAGCACCTTTAGCCATGTTTTTGAGCTCTAGGAAGACACCAGACATGTACCTTAGTCTGTAATATGTGTTGAACGATAGCCACCATGCAGAATGCTGCAGAGTTAAATCCATTTCTTTTTTTATTTTATGTTTGTGAGTGTTTTGCCTCCATATATGTAATGCCTGTGGAAGCCAAAAGAAGCCATCAGATCTCCTGGAACTGGAGTTGTGAGCAGTTATTAGCCACGTGTGGGTTCTGGGAACCGAGCCCAGGTCCTCTGCAGGAGCAGCTGGTAACTGCTGAGCCACTTCTCTAGCCCCTTAAATCCATTTCTATTTCAGAGTACTAAGAGCAGAGAGCCCACAGGGCGTGGCGGCACACACCTTTAATCTCAGCACTTGGGAGGCAGACGCAGGCGGATCTTTGAGAGTTCAAGGCCAATCTGGTCTACATAATGAGTTCTAGGCTACAGGGAGACCCTGTCTCAAAAAGAGTAGAGGCCAACTCTATGAGCATGTGACATCACTGCTGTTCTTATCAGACTCTTGCTTATGATCAGGAGCCTTGAGCAAAATTAACAGGGCCTTTCAGGGTAGAGTGCCTCTTACATCATAGACAGTTCTTGCCCTGGGGGAGCCCCTAATCTGGGCAAGAGGTTGCTTCCTCTTCTAGGCTCTCAAGTTGCTACCCATCTTGGAGTAACAGAGGTTGTAGCTTAACACGGATGCAAGTGTAAAGTTTTAAGACATTTGTTTATTGGGGCGGGGGGGCTGTGCAGCACATGTGCAGGTCAGAGGACCAACCAGCACCTGCTGGAGTTAGTTTTCTCCATCCACTACATGGGTCCTGAAGATCAAACTTAGGTCCTCGGGCTTAGCGGCAAGCATTTTTACCTAGAGAGCCATCTCTCACCAGCCCATGAAGGAAATGTTAATTAATCCTGAAAGAGAAAGGGACCCCTCTAGTTTTAGGGGTGGGGAACTCTCTGGAGCAGGCATTGGGAATCAGAGTGTGGGGATGGAGAGCCACCAGGCCAATGGCGACTGTGAACAAAGTAGAGACAGGCTGCTTCTGCCTTGGAGATGGGTAAAGATGGTTCAGAATAGCTCCTGCCAGGTCACTGCTTCCTGGGTCATCTTGACCCAACCACTAGCATCCTTCATAGTAAACCAGTGAGTCCCTCCCCAGTGCTGAGGCTGCCAGTACCCCCAATGCGGGGTTTCCATCCCTTAACTGAGCTGTAATGTACTTAAAGCAGCAGGACAGATCAGAGAAGTGTGGAAGAAACAACACCTACTCACAAGCTGTTTCTTTACCCGCAACCCTACCTTTAAAGTAGCCATGGTCCTGACTTTTTGTAGTTGAAGAAACAGGATCAGAGATGGGGCAGATGGGAGCCATAGTCCTTCAGGAAAACAATGGGTGGGGTAGTCTAGACCCCTGTATTAGTTACTTTTCTGTTGCTATGATAAAATACCAAGACTGAGAAAATTTATAGAAGGAAGATTTATAAACATTTTTTTTAATGTGTATGAGTGAATTGCCTGCATGTACGTTAGTAAACCCATGTCGTGCAGTGCCTGTGGAAGTCAGAAGAGGGTGTTGGGTCCCCTGGAACTAGAATTACAGATGGTTGTTAAGCCACCATGTGGGTGCTGGGAATCAAACCCAGGTCCTCTGCAAGAGCAGCCAGTGCTCTTAACCGCCAAGCCATCTCTCCAGCCCCTTGAAGAAAGAGTTTAGCTTAGGGTTCCAAAGAGGCAAGAGTCCATCGTGGCAGGGAGGCATGGTGGCAGAGGGCTGGGGGAAACCAGAACCTTCACATCTTCAAGCGGGCACAGGAAGCTGGGGGTGGCTGGAAATTCCACAAGGCTTAAGAACTCTCAGAGCCCTCCCCCAGTGATGTACTTCCTCTAGCAAGGCCACACCTTGGTGACACAACAGCGCCACCAAATGGGGACAAAATTCTCAAATATTTGGAGCCTATTTGGAGCCTATGGGGGACAGACTCATTCAAACCACCACAACCCCTTTCTTTTATCTATTTATTTTTGTTTTTCTTTGAGATAGGGACTGATTGTGTAGTCCTAGCTGGCCTGGAACTTGCTATGTAGACCAGGAAGGCCTTGAACTCAGAGATTCATTTCCCTCTGCCTCCTGAGTGCTAGGATCAAAGGTGTGCCCCACCATCCGTGCCTAGCTTTAAAGATTTATTTTTAATTATGTGTATGGGTGTGGGTATGGTTGTGTGCATGTGAATGCAGATGTGCACATGAGTGCAGGTGTGCACGTGGGTTCGGATGACCAAGAAGAACAGTAGTGGGTTTCAGGTCCTCTGGAGCTGGGATTACAAGCAATTGTGATTCGTCTGACATGGGTGCTGGGAACTGAACTCAGGTCCTCTGCAAGAGCAGTACATGCTCTCAACCACTAAACTACCTCTCCCTCTAGCCCCTACACACTTTTCACACTTTTCTCATTCGTGTGTGTGTGTGTGTGTGTGTGTGTGTATGCCATGTTTCAACCTCAGGTGTTATTCCTAAGAAGCCTTCTATCTTGAGTTTTTATGAGACAAAGTCTTGCTGGGTTGGAGCTTACCTATTAAGCTAGGTAGTTGACCTGTGAGCCCCAGGAATCTACCCATCTTCACCTCCCCAGCACTGGGCTTTCAAGGGCCTGCCACTATACCTGCTTTTATGTGGATTCTGGGGCTTAAACTCAAGTCTTCATCTTTGCAGGTTAAAGACTCCCCTGAACTGCCTCCCCAGGTCCCTTGCTTTGACACCTCCTCCCCTTGTGTTCTGCAAAGCTGTTTGCTCAGACAGCACAGCTTTGACCATTATTGTTGGGCCCCTCCTGGGCTTTCTGTCTTCCCAGGTGTGAACCCCAGTGCCAACTACCACGCCTTATACCGCTACTTTGTGGAGCTCTGGATCTACCTGGGGCTGGCCTGGCTGTCCCTGTTTGTCAACTGGAAGGTGAGCATGTTTGTGGAAGTTCACAAAGCTATTAAGAAGAGGCGGCGGCGGAGGAAGCAGTCCTTCGAGGGTTCCATGCACTCCCGGAAGGCCCTGCAGATGGCTGGAAGTCCGGCCTCTAAGGACGTGAACATCTTCAGCTTCCTATCCAAAAAGGAAGAGACCTACAATGACCTCATCAAACAGATTGGAAAGAAGGCGATGAAGACAACTGGGGGTGGGGAGAGGGTCCCAGGACCAGGACCTGGACCTGGACCTGGACCTGGACCTGGACCAGGGCTGGGACCTCAAGGGGGTGGGCTGCCCGCCATCCCTGCATCCCTAGCACCCTTGGTAGTCTATTCCAAGAACCGTGTGCCCAGCTTGGAAGAAGTATCCCAGACTTTAAGAAGCAAAGGCCATGTATCAAGACCAGCTGGTGAAGAGGCTGGGGTGCAGTCCCCCAAGGATGGCTCCCCAACCTCCAAGGTGTTTATTAACCAGCTAGACCGCATCACTGAGGAGGGTGAGCCATGGGAGGCCCTGGACTACCACCCACTCATCTTCCAAAACGCCAATATCACCTTTGAGAATGAGGAGGGCGGCCTCTCCGACGAGGAGACCTCTAAGTCCTCGCTGGAGGACAACCTGGCCCCAGAGGAAGAGCCCCAGCAGGGGGCCGTGGCCGAGGCACCCCTGAACATGGGTGAATTCCCCTCGTCGGATGAGTCCACTTTTACCAGCACTGAGTCAGAGCTCTCTGTGCCTTATGAGCAGCTAATGAACGAGTACAACAAGGCAGACAGTCCCAGAGGCACGTGAGGCGGGGCCGGCTCCCCACCTGGCCTCCGATGGCTTCATCCCCTCATCCGGGTTGTCCTGTGACGGTCAGACCTCCGGGGGGACAGGCCTGGAGCTGGGAATGGGGAGCCAGGGGCCTACCTTTCCTTCTGTCCTCGCCAGCTGGTTGCTTTGATAGAACACGGTGTCGGCCCAGGACAGGCTTCTCCATTCTGCAGCTCAGCGGGGAGGGCACTGTCCTGAGCCTGCCCAGTGGGTAGATCTGATGACTAGAGGCCTGTAAGTTGCAGCGCTAACCCTGGAAGGCCTGTGTCTGCTGCATAAGTCTTCCCCTGGTAATCGGTTGAACGTCACACGGTTCTTTAAGGCCAGGAGCCTCTGTTATCTGAGTTTACCAGTATTAATGGGTAACTCCTGTGTGTCTGGCCTTGGGCTAGACACTTGGGAGCAGGAAGGAAGAGTTTGTAAAACCTGGGGTCGGCATGTAGGAGTGATTCTAGGGAGACTGATGAGGGTTTTGGGTATCACTAGAAGAACCTCTCTGCCCACCTATTAATCATTCTGCCCAGCAAACCCCTTACTGCAAATCTCAGTAAGAACAGAGGCTGCTGAAGTACTGTGTCCCCTGTGTGACCCAGAGCCACGTCTCATCTCCAGACTCCCACTGTATAAGCAACAGCAGGCCTATAGCCTTCTATGCCCTGGGAGTGAAAGAGAAAAGGGGTCTCTGGAAGCTGGGACTCCAAGGCTTGGTCCAGGAGCTCAGGTGGGAAACACAGTTTAATGAAATTTCATACTCCATCCGGGCCTGGGCACCTACACTCCCATCCCACCATCTCATTCCCTTGGGTCGCCTCCCCTTCCAGGTTGTACTCCTCACTCTCTTAGAGGGGCTGGTGGGCTGATGCCAAATTGTTCTTGGCTCACAGAACTGTGAATTGAGCTCCTCTCCAGGGTCTGTGTAGTGTGTATGTGATTGTGCGCATGGGTGCATGTGTGCCAGTAGGTGTGTGTGTGCATTTGGACTGGGGAGAAAAAAAATGTGAATCTTACTTGGACCGGACGCTGTTCCTGGTGAGGGCTGGGTAGAACTAGCTACTGTCTTAAGTCCTTGAGGCTCACCCTTCAACCAGCCTATGCTGCCCTGAATGTTTTTGTTAATTTTTTTTAATGAACTGTTGTTTTTATAGCCGAAATCTGTCGATTTCAGAGCCAGTAAAGAACAGGGTCCCCCGAAAGTGAGATGGATGACCTTTGGACACCCTGCTGCCCTCCCAACTGAACTGGGCCTTTTGTGGTGATGCCAAGGCCTCAAACAGAGCTGGGAAAGGGACACAGTGGCAGGTGACCAGAGGTTGAGAGCCCTACCTCTGCAGACTGATGGCAACTGAGGTTCCCACCTCAGCTGATACCTGCTGTCTCAGTCCCTTCCCCCGCTGTGTATACCCTGCTGTGGGGCATATAGGGCCATATCCCACACCCGTGTGTGTCACGTCCCCACCATGATCTGAACAGTTGTAAAGGCCACACTGGCCTCAGGGTGGGAGCATCTGGCTCCTGTGAAAAGTGTCCTGAACTGGCTGTCCTGGAACCATGTTGGCAATGACGACAAATGTAATTTATTTTAACATTTTTACAATAAAACACGTGAACAGCCCACTTGCTGTGTGGTGGTGTTGGGGATGGGGGCAGGATGGGAAGGTAGGATGGGCAGGAAGGACTCTGGACAGGCTAATATCAGTAGGTCAAGGGGAACGGGTGGACCAAAAGGAAATGAGGAATGGGGAACAAGGAGAGGCTAGGGAAAGAGCTGGGAGCAGGGATAGTGGAGGTCTTCTACTCAGTTTTCTGTTGCTGTGACAAAATCTTCTGAGCCAAAGCCACTTGAAGAGGAAAGGGTGTGTTTGGCTTACACCTCCAGGCCACAATCCATCACTGAGGGAAGTCAGAGCCAGAACCCTAGAGGAATGCTGCTTTCTGGCTGACTCACAGGCTCATGCCCAACTAGCTTTCTTCTTTTTGGTCTTTCTGAGGATAGGGTCTACCTGTAGCCCCAGCTGACCTGGAACTCACTATGTAGACCAGGCTGGCTTTTGAACTCAGAGATCTGCCTGCCTCTGCCTCCTGAGTGAGGGGATTAAAGGTGTGCACCACCATGCCTGGCTCAGCTAGTTTTCTTATATATCCCAGGATCACCTACCCACAGTGGATTGGGCCCTCCCCAATCAGCAAGACATCTCTCAAAGGCATGCCAACCTGATACAGGAAATTCCTCAATGGAGGCTGGGCTCTCCTATCAGATGACTCTAGGCTATGTCAAGTTGACATTAAAGCTAAACCAGGACAGGAGGGGTGATAGTGGCAAAGTCTACCTCACACCAGCTTCCAGGCACCTTTCTAAAGACTTTATTTATACCCAATAAAGCATGAAGTAACACCCTTGACACTGAAGCAGCCGGATCCTAACTGCACCAGGAAGCAGACAGGTTGTCTGATGTACAAAGAAATGTAAAATCTCAGTAAAAATGGGGAGGCTGACTTTGAATTCAGGCAGCCCAGATCCTGGACTGTCCACAGCCTCTGTGATGGGATGAAGATGACCAACCAGTAAGTTCATGGTGGGCCTGACATCACTGGGAGACAGGAGGTGGATCAGAATCTATCCTTCCTAACTCAAGGGGTTTTGCTGCAGGCATACAGCCGGGCATCTGCACTCTTTAAAAAAAAACGACAACAAAGGTGAGCTAAGGAGATGACTCACTTGCCAAACAACTGTGACAACCAGAGTTTGATCCCTAGAACACACAAGCTGGATTTCGTGGCTAGAGTCTAATCCCTTCCCAGTATTCCTACAGTGAGATGGGAGATGAAGACAGGAGAATCACCTGGAAGCTTCTGTGCACTGCAAAATGGCTGAACTAGCAAGAGAGACTGCCTCAAAATCAAGGCAGGAGGAGAGACCCTCTGGGAAAACTGTCCTGACTGGGTCCATACTCATGCCCAGCATGGCTCAGGCTTTCCTGGTACAGCTGTGTGGGACCAACAAGCACTCCTTCATCCAGAGAGCTTGGTGTGCCCCACTGTACGCCACTTTTGGGGGTGTGTGCTGTGTAGTGGTTCACATCTCCTGAGAGTCTTTGGGTGGGGGGGGGGCACCCACTGGAGCATATTTAACCCAAGAGGCCACACCTGTAAAGAAAATGGACTTTCCCTATCCTAACAGTCATCAGCTGTCATCTCCTGAGAGGTGGGGGCTCATGAGCCCCTCCCCTATCCATGCTCCAGTGTTGACTGGCTTGATCTGGTGCAGACCTTGTGCTGACAACCACGGTTCCTCAGTGCAACAGGTTTTTTCACATCCAGAAGACAGTTCCACCTGGTCCTTCCCAATCTCTGGTTCTTACATTCTTTCTGTCCCCTCTTCCTCCCTGTTCCGTGAGCCTTGGGGGATGGGGTGATATAGATGTCCCCTTTATGGCTGAGCACTCCACAGACACTCATTCTCTGCACTTGGGCCATGTGTGAGTTTTTGCGTTAGTCACGATCCACTGCACAAAGCAGCTCAATGTTTCTTTCATCTGTGTCTCTTAATCCTCCTAACATATTAACTTCTTTTTTGCAAATGAGGAAATTGAAGAAAGGATATTCCCCAAGTTCAAACAGCTATGAGGTGGCAGAAAACACCGGTCCAGGCTTGCATTCCTATTCAGCAGTCCACCCTCTAGCGGTTCCTAATCTGATGAGGGAGACACCCTCAAAGTCTGGCAGCACCTCAAGGAGTCTGCAATCTGAGGTGGCGGGGGCGGGGGGGACAGACCAGAAATAGAGACACCAATACATGTGCTCCACATCCCAGCTCACATCTCTGCCTTCCCGTGTGACCCTACTGAAATCATATCAGGGTACAGGAGAAGAAACCAACCTGTATAGGTGTTACCCTCTTCCTGGAAAGGGCCTGGCAAGGGTATCATCAGCAGGAATTGCAGGGGACTCTTCTAGAGCCTGGGGCAGAGTGATGGAAGGCATTTGGCAGGCTGGGTAGACTTCCCTGGGAGAAGTCTCTAGTCTTCCTGCAGGGACCCCTGAGGCTTGGTCTCAACTCTGTCCATCAATTCCCCAAGTTTGAAACAAGTGACCTTTTTTTTTTTTTCTCACATTTATTTAGCATGTGGGTGCACACGTGCCACAGTGTGGTTGTGGAGGTCAGAGGACAACGTGCAGGAGTCATTCTCCTTCCACCCTCTATGTCAGGGATCAAGCTCAGGTCATCTACCCACTGAGCCATCTCTCTGGCCCCAGGTTCCAATTTTCGAAATTCACACACAACTGGCTTAGAAACTAGATGCCAGTTTGTGAATCGCCTAGGTGTCCATCTAGTTCATTGGGCCTCTCCCTAGATCGTTCCCTTTCTGTCCATCCCAGTCTCCATCACCAGGGTCCAAAGCCACTGAAGCTTCTCATGGTCGCATGGTGCCTGGCTCCTGGTAGGGGCTCTGCAGTTGTCTGTTGTGAGTGAACATGTCCCCTTAGTTTGTCTCCCTGCCTCTACTGCTGATTCCTCTTCCACCTGCCTGTCACAACCACCTGCTAGATCCACCCCCTTCTCAAACTTGACTACCCTACTTAACCCTTTAACTTCTCAGGGGGCTTCCTTCTGCTGTTCCTAAGATGCTCTTTCTCCAGCCTCATTTACCTTCTCACCCATCTTGCTGGGCTCCCCGCTCTTTCCTGTGCCCTGACGCCTTTCCTTCCTAGTGATTATAAACCTCGATAGATCAACCTTGGGAAGCCTTCTACAATCCATAGGCAATACTCCCCGAGTCAGGGTTGAGTGCCCTCTGTGCTTCAGAGAGCCCTCTCAGCAAACTGCCTCTGTGCAAGCTGCTGTGACATGTTCAGGTTCCTTGTCTCCTACTCTAGTACCCCCTTCCCTGGCAGGAAGCCACTGGACATAGCCAGACATGGCTTCTTCACACACATAGTCTTGCCAGGACCCAGCTGTATGGAGAAGGGCTCTGCTTTCCAGTGTTTGGCAAAAGCAGGGTGAATAACTCCAAGTCCCGCCCCTCCCACATGCAATTCTGTTCCTGGGGCAGAGGCCAAATAAAGGGGGAAAACATGTTCCATGAGGGCGAGTCTCAACAAAGGCAGGTGGATGATCTTGAGGGACCATAAGGCAAGCTGAGTGGCCTGATGAGTCATCTCTTCTGCCAAGTCACCTGAGTCTAGTCACTGGAACAAAACATACCTGATTTCACCTCACCTCAGAGAGAGAGAGAGAGAGAGAGAGAGAGAGCACTTGGCCAGAATCTTCTTTTGTGCATCTCTCTTTTCACTTCTACCGTTCCCAGACAATGTGGGCCAGAGTCCCTATGGTCCCAAATCCCAGTGCTTTCCTGTGATTGCCTCTGCTCACATTAGCCCTGCACACAGAGCCCAGCCTTCACTTCCAAAGCCCTTTCACATCCATTCTTGTGTGGGATTGCTCAACCAGGTACAACAACCAAGTGCAGCAGTTTACAGCACAACTAAAGGGCCTTTTTGCAAACTAGGAAACTTGGTGCCCAGGTGTGCTGGATAGATAGCTTTAGTGTCAACTTGACACACCTGGGTTGAGGGAGCCTCAATTGGGGAATTGCCTCCATTGAACTGGCCTGAGCCATGTCTGTGGGGCATCTTCTTGATTGTTGTGTGATGTGGGAGGGCCCAGCCCACCAGCCCATTGTGGGTGGTGCCACCCCTGGGCAGGTGGGCCTGTGTTGCAAAAGAAAGCAGGCTGAGCAGGGGCCAGGGGAGCAAGTCAGTAAGCAGCATTCCTCCATGTTCTGTATTTCAGCTCCTGCCTCCAGGTTCCTGCCCTGAGTTCCTACCTTGGGCTCCCATCAGTGATGAACTGTGACCCAGGAGATGTAAGACAAATAAACCCTTTCCTCCCCAAGTTGGTAGTGGTCAGAGTATTTTGTCACAGCAATGAAGAGACAAATTAGGACACTAGGTTTGGCTTTCCCCGAGAGCAAGGCCACAAGGGAGATCTGGGGATGATCAGAAACTACAGGCGTCAAGGTAGAGATAATGGGGAAAGATGAGACAGAGATAGACGCTTTAAAAAGAAATGATTTCTGGGACTGGAGAGCTGGCTCAGTGGTTAAGAACACTGGCTGCTCTTGCAGAGGACTGGGTTTTGTTCCCAGTCCCCACATGGTGACTGTCATCCAGTTCT